TTTGATCACTACTCCAAAAGGAAATGCCTGTAATTTCCTGTGCAGGTCTTACCAGGTGCTGGGCTCCATCAGATCCAGAAGCTGATGGGAGCTGGGAGCACCTGTTAGAATCTGCCTTCTCAGAAAACCTCAGAGACTTGAAATTTCACTTGTGTTTTGAAAAACCTAATGCCAGAGCTACAAAGGGCATCAGACTCTGGCTTCCCACATGACAGATCTGTTCCATGCTGACTTCCCACTGAAGACTGGAACACAGTCCAGCTTTTGTTCAGTGTGTCCTTTCAGAGGCATTGACTGGGAAGGAAATCTGACAGACTGGAGAAAACTTGGCTAAAAGTTACTTATCTTTATTTAATAATAATTGGCAGTTTTTTTTCATACACCTACGAGTCCTTTGGCTCTTGATGGCTTGGGACATGGTCATGCCTACTTGTGGGAGAAATTCCTGAAGTTCATTCAGTCCTGATCAGCATGACTCAAGGGAAGTAGCAGCCTCGTAAAAGGGCATGTCCTGTCTTTCAAGGATTCTTGGTAGTTCCCAGCCCAAGGGATTGCCTACAACACATCGGGCTGAACTATTTTGGTACCTGGCTAGCGTCTCTGGGTGTGTCATGGTGGTTGTGTGGCTGCAGCAAGCAGTCTGCAAGAGGAACAGAGAGGGAAGTGTTCAGATTTTGTAGAGTTTCAGCCCTGCAGGCACTGCGTGGAGCTGCTAATGCTTACAAAGTGGCTGGGTAAAAGGCTGTAATCGAGTGAGCTGTGGGCAGAAGAAGAGTTCTTAATTGCAACCGTAGGAGTAGTTGGCAGCCTCGCAGCCTCGGTGGCTGATAGTCTTCCTCAGGTGAGATTGGTGTCCTCAGGTATGCAGAGCTCTGTCAGGCATGGGTGAGGAGCCATGGACCAAAACAAGCTGATGATAGGAAAATTGCCTTGGCCATGAGTTGATGGAATCATCAGCATCAGTGCCTATACATTAGTATGTGCTAAATCGTGGCACGTTGGACATCAGCTCCCTAAAGTTTTCTGCTTTGGAGAGCTGCTGCAGAGGAGGAGGGAGCTTGGTAGTTCCCACACAGGCCCTGCTGTAGCTTTTCTTGGAGGTTTCATAACAGAATTAAGCAATTTGTGTTGCATGTTGCCATGGAGACTTCTCAGTCAGGGAGCTGGTGTCTTTAACCTCCCCTACAAATCCAGGGCTGGGTTCTGAGCCTGCTGACCTTCTGTAAAGGCCTCACCCTGGGAGCTCAGCCTCCAGGACAGCAGAGCAGAAACCAGGAAAAGGCATGCCAGCACATCAAATACCAACTATCTGGGGTCCATTTTATTTTTTATTATTGTCTTATGTGGCCACAATTCTGCTCAGAAGCTGTGCTTGGACCCACTTGCATTCAGGGCAAGTTTTGTAATGAGGGTGGGGATTAGATACACTACCTACATTTTGTGGGCCTGTCATACAAACTAAGATGAATTTGGTGTTTTTATGTAGCTTGGCTGCTCCAAGGGGATAGCTCAGCCCTTCCACTCCACCTCCATGTCCAGACAGGTAAATGGGGTTTTATACAGCCTCCTAAAAGAAAATAATTTTTGCTGAGGAGGCTCAGCTTCAGTGACACCCTTGGACCAATGTTTCTTTTTTCTTCCCATCCACCTACCTCAGAAGTAGCCACAGTTCTGACTGTCTCAGCATTACTGGCTTGTGCTGTCAGGCTGCCAGTCTTGCCAGTGTGTATGAAGATGGTTATATAAATGACTGTTTAAATCAGCCTCCTTCCAGTGACTAAACCAGAGCCCTGACATCATTTGCCAGCGTAGGGTATGGATCCTTCTCTTGGCTCCTTCAAAATAAACAACTATATAAATTGTAAGATGATTATCATCAGACCTTATTAGTGTATTACCACATGCTGCTTTGTATTCAGACAATAGATAAAAACATTTGTGCTTCACTGTTCTCAGTCAGATCTACAGCAAACACGCTTATTCTTGCTCCCATCTGAGGAGGACTGTGTCAGTACTCTTGCCAAAAACACATGAAAATTAGCCCAAGTCTTTTGCACTTGCCTGTAGCTCTGTGCACACTGGGGGAGTGTTTAGTCTTTTCCAGGAAATGATATATGTTGTTTTAAAGGTTTGAATCATGAGCTGGTTAAGTTCATAATCTTGTCAAGGCATGAGTTGTCTTCATGCTTTGGTTATTAGGGCAGATGGAGGGGCAGAGGGATGGAAGCGCTTGACTTTCAGAAGGTTTTCGTTATGTACATGCATGGCTGGAACATGGGACCTGACAGCTCAGTAGAAAGAGGAGTGTTTCCATGAGCAGCAGAAACAATCCTGCAGAAACATCTAAACTTGCTGCCTTTTGACACTCTGAAGTTTTCATCTGTTGTGCTAGCATCACCTACAATACAGGGAATTGTGCTCAACAAGCCAGCCTACAGTTCTTGACTTCTTTTTCAAGTGTTTTTTTTCAGTTCAGTTCTTGCTGTTTTCCCCAGGCTACGTAGCACTCAGTCTGGTGGTTCAGACACACAGCATGACCAAACTTCTGGAAACAACGGGAAGCAAATGCCTCGATTCAGCCGATAAGCATGCTGGGCAGAGACACAGTTTGTACAACGGGCTAAACATTATCCTAGCACTTTGGGGAGCATTTCATGCAAGATAAGCTTGAGGCTTCTTAGGAGTGGGTTAAAGGGCTGGCACAAAATGTCAGTAAAAATGTAATGCTTGTTGCCAAGCAGCAGCTTGTGGTTTTGTGAGGAGGTCAAAAATCGTGCACAAACGGAGTATGTTTTTCACATCCACAGACTGTCCCCCACCATGTCAGTAACAATCAGTCTTTCATTCTGCCTGGCTGGAGCTGCTCTGTGTGTAAAGAAGGATGGGGTGAAATCTTGGCCATGGGCAAAGCAAAAAATTGTCATTAAATGTGTTGGAAGGAGGGGCAGAGCTTTAGACAGGGTCTGTGTCTCAAAAAGCCTGTGAGGATCCTCTGACCTAAGAAGGACTACACAGAAATAAAACTTGGTCTTTCAAGCAAAAATAAGGCATTTAGTTGAAATTCATTGGATTTTCAGTAGCCCAGCCTGCTGTGTATTGATATGTGGTCTCATAAATATGAGAAAGTGGCTTACTCAAAAATAGAAACTTTTCCTTGGGGTTGTTGTGAGGAAATGCAGTGAGACTGTTTGAAACCTCAGCTGGTTTGGTCTTCTCCCCATCCAGCAGGTGTTGCTTGCAGTGGAAATTCTTGCTATTCTCAAGAATTTCCTCCAAAGGTGGTTTAGAAACAAGCAGACTTGATCATGCTTCTTGCTCTGAAAATGTTGGCTGGTCTCAACTTGGACAAGAGGCCTTTGCTGTTCTTAAACTCAGCAATCTCATCCTCTGTTGCCTTATGGGCTTTTCTTTTTAGAGGTGGTGTGGGGTCTCCAGTGTACTGAAAGAACATGAGACCCCCAGGTTTGCCAGGTAAAAAGTGCTTTTATGATTCAATATTTTGGATTGAACTGAAGTAATGATTATGGAGAAAGGGACTAGAGAAATCAGAAACTAACATGGAGTAGGAGATTATGTTCTTGTGTTTTGACAAGAGCACAATCAGCTTCTGTGCACAAAGCACATCAGACTTACTTGGTGGTTTCTGAGAATCAAAAAGTTAAAGTTGTCTTTTTAATGAAAAAGAAATCCTTAGGGTTATAGGGAAAGCCTCCAAAAGCTTGTGTGGGTTGGTGGGGATACAGGTTGGGAGCCAACAGTTTATGGAGGTTCCCTCAGAGCAGTCCTGGTCCCACCTCAGTGCTGACTCCAGCCAGTGCCTGCAGCCCAAAGGGCACCAGCAAAACCAGAATGTCTGGTAGCAGGTGCCTGCAGAAAGTGTCACCACTGCTGCTGCACTGAACAGTATTTTCAAGAAAACCAATACCAAGAAAATCAACTGCCTTGTTTTCAGCCTTATCGTTATGATGAATTTTTTAAATTTTCTCTTTAAGTGTGTGAAAGACCTCCCAGAAAATGCAACGGTCATTCAGATCTGGGAGATGGCCACCTGTTTCCTCTGAGATCTGAGTCAGTATCACTGCTGCCCAAGGGTGGGTGGAGGGCACTTACATGCACAGAACCTCCGGTCTGCCTTCTCCTTAAATGAGCAGTTTCCGCTGCTGAGTGTTGAAATGGGCCAGTCAGCAATGGCTGCCTCTTCTCCCTTTTCCACATACCTGTGCTATTGCCAAGTTTCAGCCAGGGGATTTTTTTCATCTTTCTTTTAGGAGGCAGCTCTGAGGTGAGGGGAGCAGTGTGACTAGGCTGCTGGGAACCAGCCTTCCTGCCACAGCAGGGTTGAGGGGTTAAAAAAAAAAAAAAAAAGCCAAAACAAAAACCACCTGTTGTTCCTGGCATGCTGCCTTCTTGTTTTTATTTCTCAAAATTGAAAGTGAGAGAGAAGAAAGCAGCTAACTGCATTTTTGTCTGCTGGCAGAGCCAGGATTGGACCTTTACCTCCAGTTTTAGCCATCACTAGCAGCTCTGCCTGCAGATCTGGCCCTAGGATGTAACATACCATTAAATGTTTGCTATACCTTGAGTTAAGCAGTGAGGAATAGCACAACTCTGACTTATCAATGGGATTTCCTGGCAACAGGAAACTGTTGGGATCTTGATAGGTGCACTGAGCTAGGGTGATTTTTGTCATAGCTGTGTGGACCCAGCCCCTGTAGGAAAGGTATTCAATGGCATAGGTGTTGCATGAGCATTTGGTGACAATTAGCAGTGCTTGCAGACAAACAAGGCACAGTGGTGGAGATGTCTGCACTTGTATGTGCCGGGTCTGAGTTTGGAGTAGAGCTGTTGGGCAGGGTTGGTGCTGCTGCTCCTTTCCAAAAGGATTTTGGATGTCACAGCTGCCTTCATTCTCACTTCTTAGGCAGCAGGGGAAAGCTGCCTAGTGCATATTGCCCTCTTGTCGTTGCTGCTGAGTGACTGGAGATGATCTCTTCCTCCAGCAGGTTCAGCACACTGGAAGCATGGCTACAAGCGCTGTTCCCAGCGAAAACCTCCCCACGTACAAGCTGGTGGTTGTTGGAGATGGTGGTGTGGGCAAGAGTGCTCTCACTATTCAGTTCTTCCAGAAGATTTTTGTGCCAGACTATGACCCAACTATTGAAGACTCCTACCTGAAGCACACGGAAATAGATGGGCAGTGGGCAATTCTTGATGGTAAGCAAGCTACTCTCATGATCCCCTTTCCCTTCTAGCTGAGCACAATGCAAGTATACCTCAGTGTCTCCCACAGCATGTTGTGTCTCTGTCCCTCCTGCTCTGCTGTGGGCTGGCAGGATCTGGAGCTGCAGTGCATGGTCTGCAGCTGGTCTCCAGCAAAGCTTCTGCTTCCAGTTGCATTGGTTCCAGTTCTGCACAGAAATGTTTCTTGCAGGCCTGTGAAAACCTACAGATCCTCACTTACATTTGGAGCAGGCTTCTGCTGCCAGTGAATTACAGCCCTGCCAGGTGGCTATTGCTAATGATACTTCATTGAGTCTGAACTTATCCCCTGGGAAATAACAGTGAGTGGGGAACTGAGTGAGGGTTATAACCAGAAAGAATATTTAATCAAAACTGTTGTCCACTGACAGTGGAGAATCATTATAGCTCTTAAATCCAGTCATTCAGGGTGATGTTTTCATGTTTAATTACCTGTTTCATTTAAATATGTGTAGGAAACTGGAGTTCTGATGTAACCGAGAGTTTTCAGTTCTTTGAAGAAAAACGTTTTTTTTAATGAAACACAGACAAAAACAAACAAACAAAAAAACCCCAAACAAAACACAACAACAAAAAAAAAAACAACCACCATGATTAGCAGGTGAGGAGAAAGCCCTGTATTACCTAAAGTTGCAGCTTGTTCAGTTGTGCTGCATGAGGCGGACTAACCACAGCTACAAAGGGAATCTGGCTCTTAAATATTCTAAGTTTTGTTTTGCTTTATAGAATAATTAGGTTGTACTTAAAAGCAAGCAAGTATTTTGTGTCTTAATTACCCAAGTTCATGTATGTGGCCACTAACATAACTGAACTAAATTTAGCTTCACTTGGGCCAAGTTCTGCCTCCACCCTCTTGTCAGAAAGGTGCACAAGATCTTTGGTGTCTCTGCATAAGTGTCACTGGTGTGTGGGGACAGAAAGCTGGGGGATTGTCATGAGTAGTGGAATATGGGTGCTGCTAGGGTTTGCTGTGAAGACTGTTAGCTTGGTCTGGAAACTTGAGATCTTAGTTGATAAATCTTAAGGATTTATCAGATACAATTTAGTCAGTACAAATGGCCACAAAGTCCTTAAAAGAACAGCTTTTATTCAGTATTAAAAAAAAACAAAACCAACAAACAACAAAACAAGTTAATCTTGCCAACATTTGCTCATTTGAATATGTTAACGGTTGATATGAGAGAGTATTTGTGAAATTGGTGCTGAAATGTCTCTTCTTGTCATCTGCATTAGAGATATCTGCTCATCTCATAATGTATACATGTACCTTTATTTTTTAAATACCAATCCTGTATAAAAGAAAAATCCAGTCCTGCTGTAAATTAAATTTATTATCTTGAGTCCAGAATCCAGACCTCTAAAATGAGTGACCTTTATCTTCACTGGTATGCCCCATGTTCTGATATATATATATATATATATACACACACCAGCTGCTGTACCTGTGGGTGTTGGCTGAAACAGCATTGGCTTTGCAAATTATTGAAAAGTAGAAAAGGCATCTTCTACTGAATATTTGGAATTTTTGTTCAGACAAAACAAACAAACAAAACTTCAACAAAAAACCCAACCTAACCTGATCTAAGTGGGAGTGGTGAAAGAATTTTTTTTTCCAATGAGCAGAAACTTAACCCTTTGTTTTAATGAAAAAGGCTTTCTTTTGCTCAGATGGAGCTTAGTGGCTGTACTTGGGCTGAACAGAGTTCAGCTGTGGCCTTGAATGGCATGTTGGGAATCCCTGACTTCCAGGGCTTGTGTGCCCACAGATGCTTCACAGCCAGAGAAGTGAAACTGCAGCTGTTTCTCTTTCCTACCACTTGAGATTTTGAACAATCACAGTTTTGGAAGAAAGGCCATATTCTTGCCTGAAAAAGGATGTGACCCTTCTCCATCTGCCCAGAAGAAACAGGGCACCAGGACTGACTAACACCTGTGTCATTTGCCTCAGCTCTCTGTCACAGGGTTTGGATCTAGGCCATTCTCAGAGGTCACCGTATCCTGGGACAGCTGCTCTTGCTGTGGCTACATGAATCACTTCTGGTATAAAATTAGGGACAAACATGATAGGTAGGGTCAAGATGCATCATGATAAATCCTAGACTTTCCAGTTGTTCTTTATGACCAAAGCCTTTACAAGCTGAGGTTTCATGCAGTGCTTGGTGGGCAGAAGCAGCTGCCCATCCCCAAAATAGGAACTAGTTTTGGAACATGAACAACCAAATAAGGATATAGCATGAGGGGCTCTATAAATTTTGAAATTTTCAGAAACAGTTATTATTTAAAAAAAAACGAATACATAGACATCCAACAACTTTTAAAAAAAGGAAACAGCTCACCCTTTTCCAGGCTGTTGCCTGAGCAGTTCTGTACCAAGCATCTCAAGCATTTTGTAACTGCACCAGCATTATGTTGTAAAAAAAACCCTTCTGCTAGCCAGCTTGCATAAAGCATTTGGCTTCCCTCCATGAAGACCTTCACCTACATTTATTCAAGAGCACTAACTGCCTGCATGATGAAATGTTTGACTTGCATTTTTTCTTTTGCTGAAATCTCTCAATGAAAGTAGACTGAAATGGAATAGGGGTTTATTTTAGATCTTGGAGGAAAAGCTACATTCAAAATCTTCTTTTACTTGTTTGTTCTTTGGCTTGGGCACATCTCTATTTTTCTCACCAAGAGTTGTCTGTGATAGTTCCCTGCCTCCCAGAAGACTGTGGGACCTGTGTTTGTTGTGTTCTTTTTCCACACTACACAAAACCACTTTATTGTTGACCTTATGCCAGCTTTGGAAGACCATCAACGCAGTGTTCGGAAGACAAGTGTTGTAGAGTGGAAGAGGGACTTAACCTGAATGAAAGATACACAGGCAATTTGTGGGTCGCCCATTTTTTGGCTGCTGCCACTCTAATGAGACTTTAGGACCAGCTTCCAATTTTCTCTGCATATGTTATCTCAGTTTATTCCCTGCTGGTTGTGCTGAAATCAGCACAGTGCTGTGCTTGGTGAAATGCACATAGGTGCTGTACAGACATGAGGTCAGAATTAAGTGAGGGCCAGGGTTAATCTGCTTTGATTAGCTCTTGCTTCAATTGCATTGCTGTGATTAATTTTGCACGCTCCTTTCTGTGTGCAGGCTAACTTAGCAAGTAGCAGAGGATTTCTTTTGGTGTGGCTGCAAAATGCCAGTCTGGAATTATTAACCTGGGCATGAAGCCAAAAATGGAATACCTTAATATGGCAAAAAGTTCCTTATGGTTCAGAATTCCTTATGGCTCATACATCACACAGATAAAAAGGTGGCAAGCAAAGGGAGATGAAGAGATGACCACAAGTACATGGCTTGGTCTTGTTGGGGAATTGGGCTGAACTCAGCTGTCAGTAGGGCTGTGCCAATTGGTATGAGCCAAACAAGGAATTGTGTGGGATGAAAGGAAGCTGTGCTCTCCCTTCTCTTCCCTTTTCTTTCCCTGGTATGATTTTGATGAAACTCTCACAGCCTAGAAATTGTCTCTCTGCTCTTGAGTTTCAGTTTCCCTTCTAGTTCTCTTCCCAAGACCTCCTCCTAATCCTGGGGCGTCCTTGTGCTGGGCTGGACCTGCACAGCCTGGTGTGCACCCCTGTGCACTCACACCAAGCTCTATTCCTTCCCCCACACTCTATCTGCCCTTCCCACCTGTCTACCCCTTGCATTCTTTTTTGTTGAGGGTTTTTGCTTCTAGTCATCCCTGGGCACACTGTCTGCTTTTCTTCTGGGGAAACTTGAGATCAACTCAGCCATGAGGCCAGAGGGAGATCAAAGGTCACTTCAGATTTGCAGGCAGAAGGGTTTGTTTGTGGCTTGCTTTCTTCTTGTTTTTGTTAATTTAGAGTAGCATCACTGAGAGCATTTAAATTCAAGTTAAATTTGTACTTGCATTATTTTATTTGTGTGTACAGTATTTCCTCTCCCTTAATTTTGCAACAGTGAAAGAGGGGATTTTGTCTTGAGTTGTCTTGAGTTGGATTTTTTTCCTGCCAGGAAAATTTTGCTGTTGCAACATGGAAAACACAAGGCTTTGAATACTTGCCCTTTGTTAGAGAAAGGGCTCCTTTAAGGGCTTGCATCTTTAGTCTGTTTATTGATGTGGAAGCCAGTCTTCTTTCTGCTTAAAGGAAGGGCAAGAATTCAAATACTTGAGTTTTCCATATTATAATATCTGTGTATTTAGATAGGGCACAGAAGAAGGGCTCATAAAAGCCCCAGTGTTTTCCTATCATGTGTTTTTTGCTGAGGAAAGCTGTCAGGCCAGAGGCAGCATGGCTGTGTCTGAGAAGGAGCAGAAGCATCAGAGTGACCAAGTGAAATATCTGCCTTGCTTTGCACATGGCAAGGGCACCTCATACCTCTTCAAGGTGACTTGGGCTGTGGGGATACTGAATAGCAGCTGTGACCCCAGTACCCCATCTGTGCAGTGCCCAAAATACCAATTCCTCAGCTGAAGCCACTGGCTGATAGGAGTGCCCTCTCCCACGGTGCTGCTGATGGAAGACAGAGACTGTGGAGGTGGCGTTCCTCAGCCTGAGGCTTGTTAGTTTGACTTGGCAATTCAAGTTCAGTTTTCCCATGAGCTTAGGTGTCAAGCTGCAGGGCAGTGAAACCCAAAGGCTGAAGGACAGAAAATGGGTTGACGTGCCTGTCAGTTCATCTTTATCCCCTCTAGATGCCATGGACAGTGGAAAAACTCTCTTGAGGTGACCTATACACCCAGCTGCCTGGGTAGCTGAAGATGTAGGAGGAAATTTTGCCTAGATTTGAAAAGAGAAGAGCTCACCTGCACAACCAGATCTGAGGTCCTCGAAGGCTGGGAATGGTGTGTTTGAACTGAATCCAGCCTAGGCTCCAGAAAAAGCAATGCTATTGCTGACTTAGAGTTCACAGTGTGTCTCTGCCCTTGGATTAGATTCACCAAGTGCCTTTGTCTCTGGATGGGCACTTGGAGCACTGTCAGTTGCAGACATTGCCACACGGTACACCTTGAAGCACCAAGGGCTTCTATTTTGGACCACAGATTCCCTTGTATTCCTGGGCTCCTGTGCCTGCTCAGAAGTGCTCTCTAGGCAGCTGCACTCTTGCGTAACCCATCAGGATTCACAGAAAAATGGTGTGGAGAGCTCTAAAGGGGCAGGATTCAATTAGCAGGGAGTTCATCACAGCAGCTGGGGGTCACATCCACTGGAAAGTCGAAAAGGCCATCTCTTCACTCAGCAACCTCTTACCTGCAAAGCAGGAGACCTCCCTGCTGGGCTCTCACAGCCTAATTCCTCTTAGTTTAGTCTCCAGCTGGTCTCATGATAGCTCTAAATGGCTTTGCCCTCTTTGGATGTCTGTTCCTACATCATACATCATCCTTGGCTTCTCTCTCCTTCAGCTTACCCAAATGCTTTCATAATTGCTCCTCCTTGCTTCTTTGGTCAAATTAGTGAGAAATTCACGAAGTTTTCTGTTGGAAGTCCCTGACTATGTGCAGCCTGAGAGTCTGATTTCAGTTCTTGGAAGAATGAGGTAGGAGAAACCCACTGTGCTTTGGTCCTTGTTTCCATGCTGGCAGTTAGGTGCTGCCAGTGGGGCAGCTGGTGGTTTAAAGTGTACAGTTCTCTACTCATGGTTCTTTCTGTCTTCTGGCATCCTGTCTATAGAAACAGGAATTTTAAAAGAAGGTGAATGCTGGCTAACATGCTAAATCTTCTCATCCCTTTGGGAAGCCAGTCACCTTCTGAGCTACCCCTTCCTAAGGTTTCTCCTTGCTCTGTCCTATTTCTATAGGTAGGAGTTATCTTGAAGATACCACAAGGTACCACAAGCAAAGCCACTTTCACCTGGTCCTTTTCAGTGTTGATGCTTTTCGGGATGGGGTCCTTTCCTGCCTACAAAAGATCAAGATCCCTCTCCTCTGTTGTTTACAATTCACAAAGCACAGAAATGTTAGGCTGGGGTTTTGCCTTGATGAAGAGCACATTTAAAGTTAAGACTTTCTCTGCCCATATACACAATTCTTAACTTTGTATGAGCTTAACCTTAACCTTCACTGCTGTGTGTCTTTTACTTCCACTTTCAAATTGCCATTTTAAATGCTGCCTGGACTTGCTCACCTTTTTATCAATGCTGCGAGTGAATTCCCTTTAAATAGCAGCTGCTGACACAGCAGCTCTGCCTGTGTTTAGTGTGATGGCCAATATCCAGGCAAGGTAGGAGAGCCCCATGCAGCGGGGTATCCCCACAGCCCCCACCAGGGCTTGCCCCCTCTCCCAGGGGATGCAGAGCTTTGGAGGGGCAGCAGCAGGGGATGGGTTGATGGCTGCAAAGGCAGAGCTGGATGCTTCTTTTGTGTTTCATGAGAAGTTTGCAAATGTGCCGGAGCAAGGGGAAGTCCCTAAGCAAATTACCATGCAGGATACAGCACATCCATCTCTACCTTCCTGCCCACAGCCTGTGCTGGGGCACCTGCCCTGTCTCAGGGGGAGGGAGGGCAGGAGAGCTCAGCTCTCAGCGTGGAGCTCTCCCACTCCACCACAAGTTGGGTTTGTGTGCTGGCTGTCAGCTCTCAGCCCTGCCCTGACACCATGTCTAGCTGCTGTGGGAGTCATATGAGGGCAGCCCAGCCTCTCCATACAGGTTGGGCAGGTAGGAGAGATTAATTTCCTCTTCTGTCCCAGCTCCAGAGCCCTGGCCTTATTCCATGGTAGCAGTTCTGCCCAGGGCATAGAAATTTACCAGCACATGCAGTCTCTTTGGGTTTTCTATTTCCTTTTTTTTTTCTTCTTTTTTTTTTTGTGCAGTCCTTAATAGCTGAAATGCCTTTGAGCTGAGACCCTTCTTTCCTAGATTTAGAGGGGAGGAGCAGGATAAAAGGCTGTGAAGAGATTCAGGTGACTTTCCAACAATCTTGACAAATAAGCCTAAATCTCAGGGTCTTTGCAAGAGCCTGGAAGCTCTTTTTACCTTAAGATCTCATGAAAGCAGACATTCCACACCAGTCAAGGCAGGAGAACAAATGAGGCTGAAGGCTTTAAAGGGCCTGCCAGCACCAAAGAAGGTCTCCAGGTCTTCCAGTGTAGCTGTCTCTCCTCCAGACATGCAGTGGAGGTGTGTGGCTGGCATGTGGGCTGTGCTGTGACATGCAGTGTGTCCTCCTGTGCTGATGCAGCAAAGTGGTCTTTATCATGGCCCCACCTGGAAACTGGGGCAGCCTGAGCACTTCCCCCTACAGGGAACACCTTGCTGGGTCTGTGGGCCCATTCAGACTAGACAAACCTGTATCAAGCATGCTGCTCTGTCAGCAGTATGCTCCTGCCACTGTCTCCATCCATGGCTACCCTGGGCTTTCCCCATTACTTGTGGGCAGCAGATGTTTACACTATGGCTATACAGCAGATGTAAAACAGTTTTCCCACCCAGCCCAGTTGACTGGGATGTGAAAATGCTCCCAGTCATCATGAAGGTCCCACGTTTACCTCTGGGGTACAACGATGCATTAGGATTAGTACTTCTGAGCAGCTGATGCACTTTGAGTGCACCCCATGTTGGTACTGGCATAGCCTAAACTGATGAACTCCTCTTGCACCCTCCTACTGCCAGTCAAAATCCTGGCTGTGCACAAAGCTGGGGCTCAGGAACTAGCCCTGATCTGTGTATCAGTATGTGGTGTTTACCCAGAAGGCTGGGGTAGCTTGTTCCACAAGTGATGGGACCCCCTACAAGACAGTGGGTTATGATTCCATTAAGTTTAATCTAGTGAGGAACGGCATCTGAGTGGCTGTCACAACTGAGGTGTTTTAGGGGATTTGAGCATGGATTTATTCACCAAAATGTGATCACTGTATTGGATGTGCAAGGCACTTAAAGCTTTTCCATCTGTTTTAGTTACCTCCTTAGTACCAGCACACCATTTGGGACTAAATATTTAAGGGGAGTTCCCCAAGGCTCACTCTGAAAGGACAAAATTGTCTAGAAAAAATATTCAGGTGTTGAGAAAAGGAAAATGCTTGTAGCTGTTACTTTGTGTTGTGTCCCAGCTCCGCTTCACCATGCATTTTGTAGGTTATCCCTGACATTTAAACTGCTTTTAGCTAATCTTCCAGTCTTGGGTTTTCTTTTCTGGGAGAGGGAAAAGTTGGGAGGGTTGTGAAATCCTTTGAGCCATATCTTGCCAGAGGAGCAACTCTCCAAGTTTAGTGATCTGTATTTGGTACTGGAAAAGGAAAATGAAATCCACATAGTCATCTTCCCCTGCTCCCAGCTTAGGCATGCAAGGATGAGTGAGGTCTGGGACAGAAACTCCCTTGTCAATCCAACTTGATTTCATCACATCTTGCTGTCTTTGAGGAAGCCCAGCAGAGGCAGAAAGGCCACAGGACATAGAGTGGTGCCAGCAGCTGCAGGTCCCCCACAGTAATTAAAAACCTTTGTCTCTTCTGTCCTAGTTCTGGATACTGCAGGCCAAGAGGAGTTCAGTGCAATGAGGGAGCAGTACATGAGGACTGGAGATGGTTTCCTCATCGTCTACTCGGTGACAGACAAGGCCAGCTTCGAGCATGTGGACCGGTTCCACCAGCTGATCCTCAGAGTCAAGGACAGGTGGGTGCCAGCACTGCCTGAGCCGCCAGGCTCCCGACCCTCCTGGGGGCATGGCTGCACATCTGACCCCAGCTCCTGCCTTCTGGGTGTCCTGAGACAAATCCTTAGGTGGGATTTGTGGGCCTCAGTGTGGTGAATAAGAAGTGGTTTACTTCGATAAGCATGAAGTGCTTTCAGCGTGGAAAGGGTCAGTGGTGTTACAATGGAGTGAAAATGCGTCTGGAAGGGAGCAACTTCTGCCAGAGCAATGTGAGAAAGAGAGATCAGACACCTTTGAAGGTAACCAGCTCAACTCTGAAGAGAGGGAATGCTCTGTGTGCAGTGCAGGCACTTTGGGATCACCAGGAGGGAGTCAGCAAGCATTTCAGCCCTAATTATTTTGTGTGTCCTGGTGCCATCTTCCTGTCCCTAGCTTGTGCCAAACACACCTTCAAAGGCCCTGCATTATTTGGGGGTTTGAACAAGTGTTTTGAAGGGGAAAAAACTTGTGCTGGAAGGAACTGTATTTCTAACCAGGGATGTAATGTAGTTAATGCACTGTGCTCTGCAACAAACAATTACACAGAATAAAACATCTGTCTGTGCCTGGGGAGACAGCAAGAGAGGTCGCCTCTCTCCTCCTTGCATGTGCAGGGGAGAAGGTAGCACTGGGAATTTAATCATGGTAAATAAATGTGTCCTGGCACAGTGAGGGGAAGCTGCTGGTTTATATACAAGATAACTCCCTCTTCCCATCCTGGTTCAAGAGGCAATGGATCCATTCTCACTGGGTGGGGTGTGAATTAAGCCCTTATATGTCTGCAGCTTTGAAACACTTAGTTCTTCCGTTCATAATGACTTTTAATTATGGAAGTCATCAAGAAAAGTCACCAGAGGGTTTGGGCCTCGTTGCTGGCTTCCTTTCACAGCTCTGAATAACTTCCCCACAGGAAGGGTGGACTCCTATCATGTGAGGTTCACAGCTGACAGCTCTTCCAGTAAAGCATCCAAAGTGTAGCCCACAAGAGTGAAAAGTAAAGGAAGAAACACCCTCTGATTTCATTTAAATGAAGAAGAATGTCAGTCCCTCAGTCAGCCTCTCAGATCACAGCAGTCTAAGCACTGCTGGCTTAGCTTGGGGCAAAGTAAATGTGTTTCTAAAAGCTGAAGGAGACGGGGCAGAATTTCCTGTAACCTGCCCCAATCTGATGCTGATTTTATCTAATTTAAATTGGTGAAAATAAGACGTGGTGTTCACTGTTTGCTCTGGACTGAAACTTTTACCCTCCATACATGCTGTGCAAATGCTGCAGCAGTGTGTGAGAGGCAGGAAGTGAAACAGGCTGGCGAGGTTGTTTGTGTTTCCCCGCTCAGCGCCACTCCGAGCGTGAGGAGTGTATTAATTCTTCATCCAAAACCTGGGCTCGGGCAGAAAATCACAGCAGTGGGAACAGCGTGAGTCAAAAAGCACTCCTGCTAAACCCACACGTAACTGGGAGCAGAGCATCACCCTGGTTTTCAGTCTGGCAGGCAGTTTTGGAACTTAAAATACAAAATAATTGCAGACTGCTGAGCTAGCAGGGCTGTTCAAAGCCTTCCTCCCATTTTCTTTCCACAACTTTCATTATAATAAAATTTCAACTGTAGCAGCTTTGTCCAATTAGCAGTTGTACTGCTTACAATAGGGAACAAAGTCCCCACAGAGTTTTATGCCTGATGTAAACAAGGCAAATGAGATAGCATCCAAAAGTAATCCATTTCTAATCAAGGTGCTGCAAGCCAAAAAGCAATCAAATAATCCAGACAAGCAAATATTTTGCTCCAGAAGGATCAGAGTCAAGATATACCAATGCTCAGGTATTAACATTAAATCACAGTCACATTATCAGAACGAATAACTCTAAGACTCATTTAAAATGCAGAGTGCAGTACGGTATTTTTCCAGCCAGAGCAATGGGGCAACATGCCAGAGGGAAGATGGAGCTCTTACCATCTCGAAGAAAAATGATCCACAAACGCTGTTTAAAAATCCAGAGTTACCAGGGAAGTGTTTTATACAGAAATGAGTATGTCCAGCTGCTCCTTACCCTAGTAAAATCAGTCTGTTACAGCAGAGAACACTGGGATCATTTAGGAGGGCTTAAAGTTAAGTATAAGACAACAATACTGCAGTAACTGTCAGTGATCAGAAGGGACCTCCTTCCTCCCAGCAGTGGCTAAGAGGCCCTGCAGCAGCTGATTGCTCTGTTTCATGAAGCCAGAGTGGCACTGCCAGCACCTCCCATGGCTCCAAACCTTGGTTCTCTTTATCTCTGGAACAGCGGAGCTTTCTGCAGGGGGAGAGGGGGAGAGCCTTGCACAGGACATGCTGTGGATAAATGGATCTCTTCTCAGGTGGTGGCTGAAGGCAGTCGCATGCCTGGTAGTTAAGGAAATACTGAGTATTATTACAGAGGGAGATGGGTTTGGTGTTTTTTTTTCTGGGATTAGGAACAGGAGATGGTAGGTAATAGCATCGGAAGCTTAACAAATCTCTTTGGTTCCTTCCAGCCTCCTTCCAGCTACCACTGCCAAGCCCAGTTTGTCTTGGAGTAATAGCTGATGGGCATCTCTTTGCTCCTGCTGATTTACTCCACCATTTGATTCCCCTCTAAGCACCAGCTCCCAGAGTCCATCTTTCTTTCCCTTACAGTTGCTCTCAATGGATGACCAGGAATTAAATTACTCCAATTCTTCCATCATCCCCTCAGTATCTTGCCAAGATATGCAGTTACTGAGATGCCTTAACTGCTACAAAAAAGTCCCAGTCTCCTGTCCAAGATCTGTCTTTATGTCTCAGTTGATTTTCTGGCTAATTCTCTAGATCTTTCTTCACCTAGATGGATCTTCAGGTTTAGTTATCATCAGGCATTGCAGAAATGGTGACAATAAGTTCCTGAAGTCCCTACAAATAACAAGGAATGTGTGCACGCATGCAACTTGTCAAGTAAATTTTTACAATATGAACATATGTATAACACAGCCTGTGGGTTTTCTTTTTATTTCTTTACACATAAGTGGTATGTCTGTAGCTGAAAATGTTAGATGATGTCATCATGAAAAAGTGAAATTTATGCTCATAATTTTTGTTGTAGTGTGGTAATAATTGGGTGGTGGTTTTGATTTTTTCCAGGGAGTCTTTTCCAATGATTTTGGTGGCAAACAAAGTTGATCTAATGCACTTACGGAAAATTACAAGAGAACAGGGGAGAGAAATGGCAACAAAACATAACGTAAGTTTACAGGATTATTTAATGGGTTATTGAAAGTCCTATTACAGGCATTCAGAATCGAAAGCTGTGCTCATTAGGAGCTGAATTAAAGCTTACAATGAAACATTTGTAAATAGGTTTTTGACTACTACAAAGTAGCTGCTCTGCAGTTTCCTTTCAGTAGGACCAATTCATCACTGAAACCAGAGCCTCTGCTGTGCACCAGGCTGTAGCAGAGCTGTGGCCATCACTAAGACTCATGGACAAGGTGTCTGAAAGTGGTGAGAAGTGTTCAGGATGAGGAAAGAAAGTGCACCTCCCTGGAGTGAAAAGGCAGAGTCAGGCATTAGGAGGTATATCCAGGTGCCTGAGCTTGTTAGAGATAATGAAGTTAACAGGGTTGTTAAACCTATCTAAATCTGGCCCACCATCTTAGCTCTGCATTATTCATGCTGTTAGTTTAGCCTGAGAAATTTGTCTTAGATGGGTGTAGATCACATGCTGCTCCACTAATCACCTCTAAATGCCAGCAGCCCTGAATACCCAGAGGGAGACAACAGCTCCCTTAGGAGGCGGAACTGAAGGAAAGGTTAAAGGCAAGCAAGCCTGAGACCTCTTGGCAGCTAAAGGACAAGCTGTGTGGTGGTTTCTGAGCAAACCTCGATGGGAGTTTGGCAGGGCAGGTTCACTCCCCCCCGCCTCCCCAAGGAATCTGGTTTCTGTCAGAGCCAGGACACCTAAACTGCAGCACAGCATGTTGTATCCATCTGTATACACACGCCTTGGAAAAGGCCATGCATGAAAATACCTTATCAGAGGCAGTTTTATAAATCTGCCAGTGTGCTGGACAAGCACTCTAGGAGGCCCCATCTGGCTGTCAGACTTTGAAGGGGAAGATCATTTTACATTGAAGGGGAATTGTAGTCATGAAATATTCATGCAGTAGTCCTAATAAAATGTGGCAAGCAAGAATTTTTGGCAAGTGCTGGTCTTTCAACAACCTTTGGCTATTTTCATGTCTGTGAGCACAGCTCAGGGGGAGAGAACATCTGACGACCTGAAGTCTGGCATTATTCTCCCCCAAACCCAGAGCTCCATAGCAGCTGTTTAGCCTGGTGCCCATTCCAGACCTTTTGTAAGCAGTCGCTGACCTTGCTGCAAGCTTGAGGGCGTTGATAGCAGTGTCATGGCAACATTTTGTTTACCTGTATTTCCGTGGTATTAGCAGCCCATTTCTCCAGCCTTTAGGCTTTTCATTTTGAAACTGGTATTATCACTGATCTCTTCCATGACACACTTCTCTCCTCCAGATTCCTTATATAGAAACGAGTGCCAAGGACCCACCTCTGAACGTGGACAAGGCCTTCCATGATCTTGTGAGGGTAATTAGGTAAGCTGCAAACTCCTCCCTTCCTTACTGCCCATGGATGGGAACATGCAGAAGTCATGGCCCAGAGAGTCAGGAGCCAGATTCTGGGGAGCCAGGTTTTCTTGAGGGTGGGATATTTCTGATGTTTATTAACTTTCTTGTCCTATGTCAGCTTAGCTCTGTTACTAGCACTTAGCTACTCGTGCAGGACATCAGTACCAGGCCTATTAAGAAGTAGCTGTGGTCATAATAAAAAAAATTTAATCAATGAATAGTGCAAAGCCTGCTGTAATGATCAGCTCTGGACCAGTAATTTCGGTTTTCATAGTTTTGTCCTCTCAGGGTCTTGCCTTGCCAGAAATTAAAAAGGACTGGCAAAAAATTCTACAAAATTCTAATGCTGTAGGTGACTTCTAACATTTTCTGCTCACTAAATGGAAAAAATTAAGCCATTTTGTATGAGAAACTGCATGACCTAATGGCCAAGTCCCAGGTTTCCTCAGACTGCAGAGGTTTGTTCCCAGTTTTGGCATGAGCTGCCTTTGCTCGTTTTGGCAAACGCGCGCTCTCCGGGTGAACCCCTGCTCTGGCTGCCAGCAGGGAGGGACTGCCTTCCCAAAGCCCGGCTCTCCTGCAGGAAAAGAGCTGCACACACATCCCAGCTGATCACCTCCGTTCTCTCTGAGAAGATTTGTTTTTCTGGCACTAGCTGCCTGACAGATTTTCTGGGCCCTCATTTTTCATGTTTTGGGAGGGCGCTGAGCTGAAATCGTGCTCCTCCCTGCCGTGCAGTCAAAGTGCCTCGCCCGGCAATTAAACCACAAGGCATTTATTCACAGCATATCTGTACTTGTGAATATCCTAGCAGAGCCTCAAGCCAGCCTCCATCAAAACCAGATGGTACTGCCCACTCTTCCCACATGTCTCAAAAGCAGAGGGCAGAAAGTCTTTGGAGAACTGAGTTGGAAGTGTCCCAGGCTCTTTCCCAACTGTTCTCAGTATTAGCTGGCTAGATATTACTTTTGTGTTACAACAAGCTCTTACCACCATCTACTCTGCTCTGCAGGAAAGAAAAACAGCCAGAATAAGATGGAAAGGCTTTGTTTGCTTTCTCCCCGTAACACAGCTCCAGGCAGGCTGAAAGGCGTATATTGTAATGAGGCATTACTAATTTCAAGCCCTGAAAATGCACTCTGTAACCTCAAAAATAAGTGGTACACCTCAGTTTCCTGAGTAGCTACTGTGAAAGTCCTTCCAGCCTGTGATGTCAAGGGCACCAGAAACATTCACATGAGCTGGAACTTGGGTTAAGTCAGAGAGCAGGGAGATGCAGTGATCTGGATGGCCATTGGCCACAAAGCAGCTTTGCTTGGTTTTTGGACATTAGAAACTGTCCACAGTCAAGGGTAGCATCACCCATCAAGTATTGTTTTTCTGGTTTTCAAATAAGCTTTTTCAAACAAAATGTAAATTTCAGCTCCCTGATAACTGTCATTGACTGAGTGCTTTGCAAATGAAGGGCTTCCTCAGAGCCCTTGTGAGCTTTCAGGGTGAGGATGCTTGTTGAGGGTTGCACTGTTTGAGCTCCTTGCACTTGTCTGATTCCTAGTTTATTTAGCTTCATGCAAGAAACTGTTGTCTGGAAGTAATCAATAAAGGAGTGGGGTGATTGAGTCCACTCAATAGATGTTTTAAATGTCCTTATGCCCCTTTTATGCTGCAGCAGTGCACACACAGGAACTGTCAGAGCAGAATCCTTGAGCAGACCCAGGGTGTGGGTTTTGGATCTCTAAAACAGATCCAGAAGAGTGTGAACAGCTTGTGGTCACTTAGTGTTTATCCAGATTTAAAGTATTTTCTGAATTTCATCTTTGTAGTTTTGGGCTTTAAAGTTTTATGTTTTTCATGCCTCCAGCCTTCATATTCACTGAGAAAAAGTCTTACTAGTAAAGGCTGAATTTTTCAGGTGGTTGCAAGAATTTGGAAGCTGAGGCTGTAAGAGAAACCCCAGCTAAAGCCATAGTGATTTATGCCCCAGTGATGTCTCATCCTGGTCTGGATTACTTGGTGTGAACACTTGGTTTAATGCCTGGTATATCACATGACAAAGAGGCTGCTTTTGAACTATTCAGACTCTCAGGTTTGAATCTGTGGAAGCTGCTAGTGTCTGTATGTTTTATCTTACACCATAATCTACATCTACAGGCTGCCTGTCAGGTGTTTGAGATACAGAGCCTTCGCTGGATTTGCACTGCTGGGCTGCCAGAGTAGCTGCTGCAGTTGGGTGCAGCTGCAACAGGCATTTGGGCAGTGCCTCATCTTACTGGACAGGGAGAAGCCCTCAACAGAATGCTTCAGAGGCTGCTCACAGCTCCAGGGCACACTGCAGGAGGGCTCTCAGCTGTGTATTCCTGGTGGCTGTGACTTCAGACAGCCAAGGACATCTTGCTGGGGTCAGCTCATTCTCTGTGCACCGGCACTCTTCACAACATCAGAGGAAGCCAGAGCCCCTTTGGCAGAAAACTCAATTTTTTGTTTATTATTTTTTAGCTCCCCTCCATCACCAAGTCGGCATCAGTGCAGCTGGCTAAGGGCAATGCCAGCTGAAAGGCAGAAGAGTGTATTTCTCTGTGCTCTCTGTATCTCTCTCAACCTCTTCCCTACTGAGTGTCAGCAGTGTAATGGATGATGTTGCATCGCTTAGAGCATCCCTGTTTCCCAGAGCAGCCCCCTGTCAGGGGAGGAGGCAGCAGTTCAGCATGGGCAGCTGGAGGCATAGTCCCCTGGCAGGACATACATCCCTGCCATTAGCTTTAATGGCTTCTTTCCTCCTTCCTGAAGAATGCTGGCCAGGCTCAGCTGTGTGGCATAAAAAGCCATGCAGTGCTGGAAGGGTATATGGAGATACGTATGCAAATATGCACATGCACACCAAGATGCTGCTCTACAGGCTGCCCAGGGCTCTGGATCCAACCCAGCCTTATGTCTCACCTGCCTGCTTTCTTCTCTGTCTCCCAAAACAGGCAACAGATCCCAGAGAAAAGCCAGAAGAAGAAGAAAAAGACCAAATGGCGAGGGGACAGAGCCACGGGCTCCCACAAACTCCAGTGTGTGATTTTGTGACAGGACACCCTGGGAGTGCCTTGGATGCCTCCCTGCTGCCCTCCTGACCCCCTGGCAGCCCGGGCGAGGAGCTGCAGCTCGGTGCTGATGCCCACACGGCCCCGTGGCCCCCGGCTCCCCACGGTGGCTCAGACTCGGAGCAGGCGGCTCCAAAGGGTCCGGACCCCCGGAGAGGGGCTGCACATCAGGGCCAGCCTGGGAGCTGTGTCAATGGGAGGCAGAAGGGATCAGCAGGACCTCAACTCTCAAACATCCCCAGCACCTTCCAGGGGCCTCCATCATGTTTATAAAAACAAACAAACAAAAAAAAAAAAAACAAGGCAGAAGTTTAAAAAAAATGTTGGTTTTATCTGCAAACATTTCTCTTTGTGACCCATTTCTGAACAGCCGTGAATAGCCCCCCTGTTTGGTACAATTGTCTGTGTATGTGTGGGGGAAGGGAAAGGGTTTTTCTTTCTCCTAATTTTTTTTGTCCTGTTCTTCCTTTTTGTTGTTTGCTCAGCAAGTGTTGGGTTGCAAAGAAACAACGGCCAGGCTTAGATTTTTTGCACTGGACTCTCTCTTGGGCAGCAGTGCCAAAACACAACTTCATATGAAAGTGCATAGATTTGGAGGAAGAAAATTAATTCCAGCTGCTCTGGGTGCTCCAGACATTGTGTCAGACTCTGGAGGGTTGCCAGCTCACAGACCATAAACTCCAGTTTAGGAAAGGAGGTTTGGGCTTGGATTATGTATTTTTTTTTCTTACCCTTTGTCAAGAGGTTTTGTTTCTGTTTTGTAACTTCGGACATGTCAAACTTAAGACATTTTGTTAACCTGGAAGTATTTAAATTAAAGTAATTTACAAATGGAAGGGTATGTCATTTTTGGGGGAGGGGGGTGGAGGGGAAGGGAGAAAGGAAGTAAAATCTGAACTGAATTTATTTGGGTGTTGAATTTCTCCCTCATAAATGCATGTAAAGTGGTGCGATCTAAATCACTCTATTGTTCCTTAACCTTTCCCTGCAAAGCCACTCGTGGGTAGATTAATTGTTTTGCTTTTCCCAGGCTCATCTCACACACACAGGAAACAAAATCTGTTTATGGAGTTTGGCTCAATGTTTCTTCTCCCTCCTTTGCCAAGTTGGTGACTTGAAAGGAAGAGGTGTTTTTAAAATGATTCAAGTGGGATGGGTCTCTTCATAAGCTGACTGTATCTAAAATGTCTCCCTGAAAACAGCAAGGACTAAATATGCCTTATGAAAAGACAAGGCAAAAAACCTGCAAGCATTCAAGCTGCCATCTGTAGCACCAGAAATATGGCTGTGCACATCCTGGAGGAGCCACGTGTTCTTTCACACCTTTCCTGGCAGTAAGAACTGCAGTAGCAAATTTGTCTTTAATGGTATGTCATGTGCTGGATTGAATCCATTGGCTCCATTCACATGGTCACCAAATCTGTTTAAAGTAGCAACTTGCTTTTCATCAACTTGAATCCTATTCAAATATGCTTTGCGGACATGACTTAAAATATTGGCAGAGTATGAATGCCTGAGATTTATGTGTCTGAGCACAGAAAATCCTGGTATTGGATATTGCAGATCCATCCAAGATGATGGATCATCACAAATTTAGTTGTCCATACTTGTATATATGCCACCAGATTTCATTTCTTGACCCTGTGCCAGGCCACTTTTTAGAAGTGAGTTGGCTGCTGATTATTTTTCAGGTGAATAAGGGTAATGGAAACACGTTCTTAATTTGTCCAGTCTTCATCACAGCCAGAAGATGGCAAAGGCCTGTGGCTGGCTCAGCAAGCTGCTTGGGGTAATGCTGGCTCTGCTGCCTCTGTCCCCTTTGGTGTGGTGACAGATGCTGGGGATGGATTAAGCAGAGGGATATTGGAAGGAAGTGTCTCTCACGGACTCTTGGGTTGGATGTGGACCATACACTTCAGTGAAGCAGCAACGTGCTGTGTCAGCTGAGATGTGGCTCCCCACCAGGGCAGCGTTTCTCTCAGTGCTGGGTATACAGACCTGCAGCAACTGAAGCCATCCACTTCAAATTCCAGTCCTTGAGACTTGCCTCTGCCTTCTGGAAGATCTCCCTTTAGGCATTTCATTTGTTCTGCTTTGAAAACCTCTAGTAAATGAGAAATTGTCTGATGATCTTTGCAACCACCCCATTTCACCATCACCCCTGTAACCACTTCCCTACCAGAATCCCTGTCTAGCCTGACTGCTGGCTTAATAGTTTTAATTATACACTACTAATGCTATGGGATCCCACACAGAAGATTATGGCATTTTCAGGGAGCTCTTTTAATGCCCCCTAGAGCCCTTCCACTTAAAAATAACTTGATTTCTGCTGAAACACCTCATCCTTATTATTTTTATCTAAACCCTTGGGAATGCTTGCCTGAAAACAGCATGTGTGTCTCTTGAGTCACATCTGCTGCGTACTCAGCACTGCATGTGAGAAATTATCTGCTTTTTCTAAAGCTTCTTAATTGTTTCTACAGTTCCTTTAGCAACTAGCAGCTATTGCAGAATAATGGAGAGGAGGAGGAGGGGAAAGGAGCAGATTAACAACAGAATATGGAGTAGTGGCCAGTGGGGAAAGCATGGCTGTTTTCTTCTACATTCATCAACTTGTTTATAGCAAGGAGTGTCTTCCATCAAGGATTGCATCTTTGACAATTCTAGGGTGCTGAAAATAGCAAGGTATACAAAGCCTTCTGCCACCTAACACACCCTGTCTTATTCAGGGCTGTTGGGAAATGGAGAGAAGCTTCCCTGCCATGCACAGCACCTACAGACCTGGTAGGGAGACACCAGTTGGTGACACACTGCAGAGAGCAACAGCTGAGCTGTGGGTGGCTTATATTTGTCTATGGAGCATCCAGTGGATAGGGACATTTTTGTTGTGGTCAGGGGTAGTCTGAGAAGGATCCTGTAAGGGCACAAATGGGGCTCATTGCCAAAGAGCTGATGGTCCAAGCGACCTAACATCACCTGATGTTAGAGCTGGCCTTGCTTTCAACACACAGTTTCAAACAAAATAAAAAGAGGGGTAAAACCTTATAGATTTATTGGTATTTAATAACTATATAACCTCCTTTTCTATTTTAGACACTGAATAATATTTGTAAAACAACAAACAAAAAGTATTAAGCCACCTAAGTTTTGGCTTTGCAAAGGTGTCATCACCTCCCTGACCTGGGATCCCACAGCATCTGTACCACTGCCATCAGGTAAATCATGTTGCTGTTTCCTCTCTCTGGTCCTGCCTATAAGGCAGCCACTGGCTTTGTTTTCTTACCAGCTTCTGAGGTGCAGGATATTTATTGTATAAGCCAAGTCACCTGTTTGTCTGTTGACCTCATGTCTCTCAAAAGGGGGGTGGGAAGGAAGAAAAGGAGGAGTACCTGGTTTAAATACACGTTTCTTTGGCATGAGCAGAGTTCAATTGTCCCTCTCTGCCTGCCAACTCTAAATGGCACAAAAGCCTGATAACAGCAAATCCAAGAAACACCACCCCACAGCTGAGGAGGCCTGCAGGTGGTGGCCACCTACAAACCTGCTTTGTGGCTGCCTCAGCCAAGGCCAGTGCTGTCCCTGGCAAAGCTGCCCTGTGATAGCCTGGGTTCATATAAATAAACCATGTTCAGATGATGGTGCTCAGCAGCAAAACACTGGAGATGGTGAAAAAGAGAAGCAAGCATTTAACAAGGGGCTGAAATTGCTTGGTTTGGATCAGATGTTTCAGTTTAACAAGAGGCCATTGCCGTTTGTTGCTCAGTTCCTTAATCTACAATAATTAATTCTGGCTGGCTCTTTTAACCTACAGCTGTACTAGAATTTGCAAATTAGGACAGGCTGAGGGATTTAGACATACATGGTGTGTCTTGTCTGGAGAGGAAATGAGCATTATTGGCCACAGAGAGGACAGCATTGTAATGCTGGGTCAGATTTTTTTTCTTTTAGCTTGTTACCCATCCTCAGGCCAAAATGGACTGCCCAGAGGCTTATTCAGCTCCAGTGATTTCAAGGGATGGTCCCTAAATGCTGCTGAAGTGCTTGGGAAGAAGGTGATCCCCCTCAAAGCTCTGCTAAGAGTAGAATATAATGGGGAATACAGAAGATACTTTAAGAGACATGACTTATGGTCTACTCCAGATGTCAGAGTTCAGATATTTATTAATGAGGGAGAGAGAGGGCTTGAGAGAAGTTTGGCATTAGGGAAATAGCCAAGGCCCTGTGACAACTGTCGCATCACCTATGTACCTTGGAATGGACAGAAGAACTCTGTGTCTGGAAATCTGCTTTCTGTGAGCTGGGTTCAGTGGCCAACCTATTCTATCTGCTGTAGGCTGGGCAGGAAGGAGGAGCTTTAGTGCATTTATTAAGGACTGCATTACAGTGCACAGCAAACATCACAGTGAAAAGGAGAGGAAGGATGCTGTGGCATGGGAAGTGTTGCTGTTCTTGCTCACTGCTCCCTGTGCTGGGAGGTCTCCAGTGGTCACATAGGCTAAATTGAGTGTCTTGCATTTATGTATTTAATGCCATCTGAAGGTGCCTGGGGGTATCCAGGGCATTTACCTGTGAGTTTCAGCTGTAACACAAGACCTATGGGAAATCTGGGCCCTTCTGGAGCAGCAGCCACCATCCAGGCAAGGATTCACCTGAGCACCTGAAATGGCTCCACATGTGTACCTTGGGGCAGCCAGTAGGTGCTCTGAGAACCCCCTTCTATTTCACAGCAGTGCTCTGAGAGAAGTCAGTGGATATCAGGCAATCCAGGCAATCTCATGAGTATCAGTTGCACAATTAGGCTGTAAATAATTCAATATTTGGCTATCAGGGATTCCATCGATATTATGCAGGACTTTTGCTTCCTTTTCTCTTGCATGCAAGGGAAAGAAATATTTCATAGATGATCTCAAAGATGGTTTCTGGGATGACACAGGACTTGTTTGCAGCAGAAGAGAGTGGGGAGAGAGATGCCTGCATGTGCTGGATCCCATGATGGGGTGGCACGAGGAGATACAGCACAGAGGTAGGCTCTGGTCTGTGGTAAATCACTGGTTCTTCTCTCCAGCTCCAAGAAGTCACTCATGAGTGGCCAGCAGGTCAGGCAGGTCAAGACTTCCTGAGGCAGGAGAAATGTGCTGGCACTGTGTCTCTGCTGTGCCAAAGGGAGGGGACAGGGAAGGAAGACTCACACCCAGCAGTGGGACCTCGCAGGTGGGTGAGTGCAGGGGTTACTGCTAATGACAGGAGGGGGATGTTCAGCAGTGCTGAGTGCGGAGAGACAGACAAAATCCCCTAATCCTGGCAGTTCTGGGACAGCTTTTTTAATTCTTTTGAATTCAGGGATCCCTTTGCCCAGTACTGGGGGACCAGCAACATCATGCCAAGCCAAACACAGCAGTCTGACTTGTCACAAGCATTACTACTCTTCTGGTTTCCATCCCTCCTCCCAGGTCTCTCTCATACAGATCAGGACATGCACAACATTGTCTGAGAGCTCAGACTGGGCATGTGGTCAGATCCAGGAGCCAAAGAGAGGGACTCAGGCAACATCCTGGATTTGGTCAATAGGAGAGCAAGAGTAAGAGGCAAAAGAAGGAGCTTTGTGAATCAGGACCTTGTTCTATAAATCCAAATCCTCTGCAAATCTGGGCAAGAGCTATTGTACAGCTGGTGATTAAGACAATCTCAGCTGAGAAGTCAGCCCAGCTGAACCAGTCACGAGCTGCTACTGGGGCTGCCACACACAGAGGTGGTTATCCTGGGGCTCCTCTCACTACAGTGGTCAGGCCCAACCAGCCCAGACCCAGGCAGATACTGGGCATGCTTCTTGCAGCTC